GGCAGGTTTTGCTCATTATTTGCTCAGTGTAACTAAACTATTTAAATTTGAGTATGTGCTAAAATGATAGGCTTGAATGGGGTCAAGCTGCTCAGTACCTTCTGTACTTGTTATGAGAGTTCATGTTCCTCAGCTTTCTTGAGCACGTGTTGGATGATTGCACAGCATTGAAACTTGAATACAGTTCTCTCATCTTTCTGGTGATGATCCTGCTTTTTTTTTGTTGGTTTTGGTTTTGTTTGTTATTTTTTCTTCCTAAGACAAATACTACTAATTTTTTTACACTGAGTTAGTGATAAGTATTTTTAGTTTTGCTATTAGGGTTTGCTCTCTTAGGGATTTGGGATTTTTGTCTAGAATAAATTGACTGAGGTTAAGGAAAAAAGCAGTATAAAGGATATAAGTTACTGTAAATGTAAACCCTTAATACAGAAATTATAAAGCGCATTCAATATCAACATTCTAAATGAAAACTTATTTTAATGCAAAAGCATTAAATTTATAAAAGGAATTTATACTATTTGATAGTATAAATCAAATAGGGGCCCAGAACTGGACACAGTACTCCAGGTGTGGCCTCACCAGCCCTGAGTACAGGGGAAGAATCACTTCCCTGCTCCTGCTGGCCACACTGTTCCTGATCCAGGCCAGGATGCCATTGGCCTTCTTGGCCACCTGGGCACACTGTTGGCTCATGGTCTTCTTCCTGTCAATCCAAACTCCCAGGTCCCTTTCTGCCTGGCTGCTCTCCAGCCACTCTGTCCCCAGCCTGCAGTGCTGCAGGGGGTTGTTGTGGCCAAAGTGCAGGACCCGGCACTTGGCCTTGTTGAACCTCATCCCCTTGGAATCAGCCCAACTCTCCAGCCTGTCCAGGTCCCTCTGCAGAGCCCTCCCACCTGATCGACACTCTCACCAACTTCATGTCATCTGCAAATTTCTTTAACTTTAAAATACAATTTAACTGTAGAAAATCAAATCTTATTGTCCTCTGTGTCAGCTACTTACATGGGAACACTGAGTGCAAAATTTATGTTTATACAGAATTAATGTCTTTCTAGTAACAGATCTGAGATAACCACAGGTGGCATGTGGATGGAACTGCGCAATATCATCTAACTACAGAATTTGAAACTGCTGAGACTACTTCCAATGCTGTTTTTGAGATTTAATAAAATGGTGTGTGTAGTAACAAAGAGATATTTTAAACAGGAAAAATCAGAAAACAGGTTTTCTATAGAGAGAGACTCCCAGAGAAAACATACCATGTCCACAGAAACTGTAGAACTGTGTATTCCACAATGGTGAAATAACAGAAATGTATTACATGTTACCTAATGCACCTGTTTGCTAATTTAAGACTTCGTGTTTAAAAGACTTTGTATGACAAGAATTGTAATTTGTGCCAAGAAATTCAAACATATGAATAATTATGTAATTATGTAAGTTCAGCATAGGACTAGAGGTTTTAGGAAATCCTGGGTGTACTATTATCACAGTCTGATGATGTGACCCTGTCTGTTCCCCTGAGGTTTAAGTGCCTCATTTGTCTTACTTGTAAATGTGACAAGATAAAAAAGTGTTTGCTTATACTCACAAAGTCTGCATGGTAAAAATTGCCAAAGAAGCATTAAGTATTTAATCTTCCTGCATTTAGATTGCTGTCTTCCTTTCCCTAGGGACAATAGATAGCAACAGATCTGTATTTGGGCAGTCTTCTTTGTACATGTAATGCTCATAGGAGGCACTCCTAATTGGTATAAACTGTAAAATCTGGAACACAGTTTGAGTGGCCATTGGACTTGTTTGAAGCCTTATTTTTTCAGAGGAGGGAGAAAAAAGATGTCAAATCAGTTCAGCTGGCTAAAAGATAAGCATATGGATTTTAAAAGTTCCAAAATGTAGTCTATAATTGAATGATATATACATTTCTTTGTATATGCATGCATAAAATATATATGACTTTTTTTAAACACACAGTGCGTTGCCAATTTAAAAAAAAATTCTTTTCTGGGTAAGTGTAAGTAGCAGTAAAATCCTTCTGTTGGAACTGACAGAATGGTGAACTTCAGGAAAAAATATGACCAAGCATTTAAGATTTTGCTTAAAATAGAATACTTAGAGAGAGGGTTAAACTTCTCCTTTCGTATTCCACTGTCTGCTGAGGTGGATGGGTCCCTTACCATAGAAGTGGCTGTATGCTAATGGTGTGTGCAGGTGAGGACTGATTCAGGGCAGAATGGGGTCATCAGCTACCCAGATAAATGCATAGATAACAGAACATTAAGTTATAATTGGAATAGAGTGTGAAGCGTGGAGGCTTGGTAACAGACTTGGGAGCAGTCTGCCAACAGCAAAAAATGCCATAAATTAATATGATGGTGCATAAAATTAAATTTGGACAAAAACTGAATCTCTGCAGCAGAGGGAGGTACTAATCTTTCTAGAGGCCCAGAAAGCATTTGGCAGACTAACTGTTCTTAGCTGGGTCACAGGTAATTATGGGAAATACCAGCTGCTTCAAGAAGGAATTCTGATTGTGGCCTCTTGCTACAGCTCTGTATCACTTAATGAATCAATGAAAATTATTTCAGTGACCATATTATGGGTAAAATTCACTGCCACAAAGAAATTTTCTCTTTAGGTGTAGCTGCTGTAGAACAGATATCTTGAAAAATATAGATAAAAATTGATCCAAACATACTGCCAACTACAAGCTGTAATTAAGCTTTGAAGTATTGAAGGTAATGCTGAGCAAGATGGGGAACCAGTAATGGGGGATTAGAAAATTAAAATGAATTCCCGAAGAGCATTGCATTAAAAATAGTACTATTTCCTGGGTTTTACTATGTATATTTGCATTTTAATACTGTTTTAATACTACATTGTTTTATGAAAGCATGTATGGTTTTTATAGATTATATTACATTATTCCAATTTTTTGTGATGAAAAATCAGTAGATACAAAATTTGTAGCACTGATACATGACAGAAATCAAGAGAAACACCAAAAGCTGGCACGATAGATTTGCTAGCATGATACAAATAATGTTCAATTACCTTAAAAATGGTGATTTTTACTGTTTCTTCTCCACTTACTTGAAACTTTCTATTTTCCATATGTCATAATCACATAAAGTAGGGTGGCCGGAGATAACAGGGCTAATTGTACAGAGCAATAAAAATGAGGTCAAAATTCAACTGATACATTTTGTTCAGCTTATTATACTTCCAAGCATAGTATTTGCATTTCTGATCTTAAAGTTTTCTAAATATCAGAATGACTTATGTAATGACATATGGGCCAACAAGAAAAATATTTTATGAAATGTGTAGAAATATACAGAAAAGCAATGAGTCAGAAAGTCAGAAAGCAAGTCTCTTTTTAGATTCCTGATCTTAAAGATAGCACATCTGGACTTGAGAATGTCATAAAATGTTCTGTCTTGTGTTTGAGTATCTTGATACTCTTGATTCTTGATACTTGAATATCTTCATATTATACATAGTGCATAATTTCAAAATGTGTAAAAGTATGTGTAATACTCTTTACTCTTTTTGCAGAAATATTGTCTTTTGATAGGATCTCACTTTGAGATTTCATGTGAATAAGCAGATGAGTTTATTCACACAATAATAACTGATTTGTATTTTGAAGTGTTGGCCATCTTACCAGGTGTTCTACATTACTATGCTTACTGATACAGTGTGGCACCTGAATTTTTTGGAGCTGTAAGCTAACAGAAGTTTTGAAAATCAGCCTATATTTAAACCAACATTCTTACAGCCCTAGTGCTACTTTTTTAACGTGGTCTTTTAAAATTAGGGAAAAAGAAAAAATCCAACCTTTTAAAAATTACAAAATTGTAAGTGCAGTTCATAGAATCATAGAATGGCCCGAGTTGAAAGGGACCATAAAGATCATATAGTTCCAACCCCCACCCCATGGGCAGGGACACCTTTCACTAGATCAGCTGCTCAGAGCTCCTTCCAATCTGACCTTAAATACTTCCAGGGTTGCTTTTATAATGCTGAGCTACAATATGCAGCAGCCAGGAATTATGCTAGTGTCTGAAGTTTCCAGTGAAATGTTCTAGGATGGATGTGTCTGTGTATATGAAAGAGTGTATATGTCCTAGAGAATATAAAAGGAGGTGTATGTTTCCTATATCATATCCTATATCATATCAGACATTACACTTCAGAGAACACACTGACTTCATGGAATTCATTATTCTTCTCATTGTTAAAGTAGAGGCTATCATGCAGAAAAAGGCTTTTTTGGAGGGCACTAATAAACCAGCAATTCTATGAATGAGGGAGAGTGCTGAGTGGTTCTAGTGCATGACATAGAGGAGTATACTCTTGGCTATCAGGTTTTGTTACCTCTCCCACTAAATTCATGTCTGTTTGTAACTAAACAGTTCCAAAACCAGGTTGATACTATGTTTTAAGGTTAATGGAGCAAGGCAAAGTGTTAAGTATCACTTCAGATTGAAAAACTCTGCTTTTTATGCATTTGGTGTAAGGGACTTACATGGATTGGCACAGTGCCCACTAAGGCTGTGTTTAGCCAACGTCAAAAAGTTTGTCTAATCAGTCTGTGTAGTTTTTATACTTCACACCCACCTCTGAAATGCGTGTGTCTAATTAGCACATTCAGAAGGACGAGTAAGAGTTCCTTCGCAGAGCCGTTGAAAACTCAAGCATCTTACACACAGTCTGTGTCTGTGTATGGGGGAAAGACAAGCAGGCCACTTTTTTTTAATGCTACATCTATCCCACAAAATTAAGAACAAAAAGATTTTTTTTCTGAGTGAAAACAAAGTTTCTACCCCATTTATGCCATTCTGGTTTTTTTTAAACAAATAGGAGAACTGTAAATGCAAGTGTTGGTAGCGTGTACCAGAGTTTCAAAAAGATATATAATTTTCTGTATGCAGGGATTATCTGCAGATGCACAGAATTATTTTATTTAATTTCATTTTACTTGGGCCTTCCAGCAGAGTCTGCTTTAAAGGATGACATCACTGAAGGGCTGACTAATTTGGATGTGGCAAACAGAGATGAAGATACTTGGGTTCTGGATTGCAGATTGGGGCACTCCAACTCATTTACTCATTCAAGTGATAAAGAGAAGATCAACAGAAATGTGTTGCATTTGAGCCTGGAACTGAATGTAAGTACGACTCTATTCATGCTATATTGGGTTTCAACAAGCATTTATTATATATAATTACATTTTTGGTATGCATTTATTTCATGTCTGTCTAAAAATTTTGGATGGGATGCAGTTTTCCAGATGGTCTGTGAGTCCATGTATCTTTGTGCAGCTAAGCCTGAAAGCAATACATAAAGAAAACTTTTGGAACTATATAAGTAGATTAAGATACATGATGTGTCACTTCTAAAATCTCGATAGGTGTTTAGTTTAAATTAGTTGCTTCCTGGAAATGCATTGCAGGAGCTAGCAACTAGGAGACAGCAAGGGTAAGTACCAGGAAGATTCAGGTCAACAAGCTGTGTGTGTCTGTATGTGTGTGTGTGTGCGTGCATGTGCTTCTGTCCATGTGCACAGCCCAATACCCAGTTTTCGTGCAGCTGAACTGGTACTGGAGGCAGACGGCCCATGCGTTTGACAGGAAAAGTTTCTAAACTTCCTGGGATATAAACCTCTGAGGCTTCAGAAGGCAAAATGAGTTAATTACAATATGAGACACTTCAACATGGCCCAGCTTAATGTAGCTGGAAATACTTACATGCTCCCAGGGTGAGCAGTAAGCAGCCTACAGATAGACGTGTTTTGGCAGAAGGTTTCAAATTGGGAAAAGGAACAGAATGTAATAGAAGAGGAAAGAAACGTGGAAGGGATTGAAAAGGTTGAAAGGGTTGAAAGATATTGTTTTAAAGACTAGACTACCTAATACAGTTTGTTCAAAGAAACACTAACAAAATTTATGTAACAGTGACATCTATTGGTAGAAATACCAGAACTTAGAAGTACATTTAAAATGCTTTTAATGGTGTTTAAAATCACCATTGCTATTCTCTTGAGCTTGTTATAAAATTGATTTCTTGTCCTAATCTTCTTTTCCTAAAATAATTATTTAGAATACTGTTGTACTACTGTGAAAGTACAGATTTATTTATCCTTGTAGTAAAATGATGACAGTTAACTGGACTGAGAAGAATTGTGATGTAGCTATTATCACTGCTAGAAATATATACTACAACAGTCCATGAGGATACTTTGTCTGCATTTACAGTCCTTGTATAGAGCAGGAGGAGTTACAAATTAAAAGCCATTTAAGAACAACATTTTGAGTCAAGTAAGAGATATCTAAGATTGGTAAGCAGTTTATTTCAATTTTTCTTACTTTTTCTAAAGAGACATTTTATGTCTAAAAATCTAATTCATTACATTATGAAAAATTTAGTAACTTCAGCTTCTTGTAGTTAACAAGAAAGAATATTTATTCCACTATTTTTAAAAAAATCAGAACAAAAGCCTTAATTTCAGTTTAAAAAAGGGTGCTCAGCATGGCCTGATGGATTGTTAGGGACTCACTGAGACACTTTATCCTGCAGCTCACTCCCTGGGACTTTTCTGAAAATCTTTTAGAACAGAACTCTGGGTTGAATTACAGAACCCTTGTATCTCCAAGACGAGTCCATGGGATTGGAGGAGGAGCTGCCAAAAGAATTGTAATGAGAAGACTGCTGCAGTTGCTGCCATCGGAATCTGTTTGGACTGCAGCATTGCTATAAGCAGCCTGTAAGAAAGATAATGGCCAAAAACAGGCTGCATGAGTTGCTGTGGTGAGAGCAACCCCTGGGCGTTCCCTTCCCCTAAAGGGTGGGATGTCACACCCAGATACTGTCTTCCCTATGCAGTCATCACACTGGACAGCAAGACAACTTGGTAAAAAATGTGCCAATATCTAGAGGGCAAATCAGAAGCAAAAATGATGTTTCCAGGAAATAGCATCTGAAATGGACCTATTTATTTACACACAGTTGCACTACACACAGTTGTGTGATCTATGGCCCTTTCCTGCTGTTGGAAGAAAAACTTTAGTCTGACTGTTCAAAAGTTTGGCACTACCATTTTATAATTCAGTTTTATTCATAATAATGACGATGTGAAAAACAAAGCTATTTATTGAATTGTTCTGCTTTCTCTGGATTATGAGTATCCTAACATTAATGTATAATATACTTGTATATTTTAATATATAGATATACCAGTGTTTGCTTATAGAATCCCTTGGGTTGAAAGGGACCTTAAAGATCACCTAGTGCTAACCCCCCTGCCAATCTTTCACTAGACCAGATTGGTCAGAGCTCCATCCAACCTGGCCTTGAACACCTCCAGGGATGGGGCATCCACAGCTTCTCTGGGCAACTTGTTCCAGTGCCTCACCACCTTGCAGCAAAGAATTTCCTCCTAATATCTGATCTAAACCTACTCTTAGTTTCAGTTTGAATTTATTCTCCCTTGCCCTGTCACTACATGCCCTTGTAAATATTATCTCTCCATCTGTCTTGTAGGTTCCCTTCAGATACTGGAAGGCCACAATTAGATTACCCTAAAGCCTTCTCTTTTCCAGGCTGAACAAACCAAATTGTCTCAGCCTTTCCCCATAGGAGAGGTGCTTCATCGCTCTAATCATCTTGGTGGCTTCCTGTGGACTCACTCCAAAAGGTCCATGTCTTTCTTGTGCTGAGGACCCTAGAGCTGGATGCAGTACTCCAGGTGGGGTGTCACACAGGCAGAGGGGAGGAATTCCCTCCTTCAACTTACTGGCCACTCTGCTTTTGATGCAGCCCAGGACATGACTGGCTTTCTGGAAGTGCACGTTGCCGGCTCATGTCCAGCCTCTCATCCACCAGCACCCCGAAGTCCTTCTTGACAGGGCTGCTCTCAATCTGTTCATCCCCCAGGCTGTACTGATACTGGGGGTTGCCCCAATCCAGGGGCAGCACCTTGCACTTGGTCTTATTAAACTGCATGAGATTCCTACAGGCCCAGTTCTCAAGCTCTTTCATTATATTATTGAAAACATTTTTCTATGTTTCTATTCTACTGGAAAAAGGTAGGTAAAGTAGATGAGGGAGAGAGTGAATGAATTCTGCTCTAACAGGAATTTTAAATGCACAGTCTATAGCAGAAGCATGAAAAAATCCTGCATTAGATTTTAAATCTTACACATGGAGAAGATATAGAAATATGGAAGGTAATGAAGCAAAATGGAAATGCAAGTCCGCCCTATTTTTTATATGGCATTTCATCTCAGATAAAGAAATACATAAGTGAGATGTGAAAATTCAGCTAAAATTACTATTAATAGCTAGTAATTACTTAAAAAATTATGGTAAATTAATGTAACTCTGGATTTTATTTTATAAAGTTTTTTGTTTAATGTTTAAACTATTATATCATACTGTAGATGGGGAGCAAAAGGCCTGTTGAAAGGAGATGAAGACAGAGCAACCTAGAAAAGGAAAAAGATTAAAAATTCATCTCCATTCTTTGTTACACTGAGTACCAGTCTTTGTGCCTTAATGCACAAAGATCTTAATTAGTTTACTTACACAGTTTATAGTGATCTTCTGTTCTCTGTCTTTGTTACTTGTAAGTCTACTTGTATAACTAGATCAGCCAATACATCTTCCTACAAGTTCTGCCTCAGAACTACCACTGATTTTTCATATGATGGGTTTTACAGGCTAAATGTTTCATACATTTATTGATACATTATGCACTCCTTCAAAATAGTAAACTGACTTTCTTAATGTCCTTTCTGATTTTATAAGCATATAGGTATTAGTCTTTTTTCAAATTCTTTTAAGTAGTCCATATCTCAATGTCAAGCAGAATTTAGATGAAGATGTTACAAAAGACTTTGCAGTTATACAGACCTCTACACCAAACGTGTCTGGTGTCCATGCATTCTGTTAACATCATGTAATACAGAATTTTGATAAGAATTATCAATCTCTGTTTCTATTGCTATGTCTAAAATTAATTACTTAAATTTAAAGAAATTATGTCAGTAATACCCAGATCCTCCAAACTCAGGAAAATTGCTCACATGAAACTGAGAATAATGATCAGTCAAGGACTTAGAGGTTTTCTTCCATCTTCCATGCCTTTTCTCTCTTAGAGCATTTAAAGAGATACTAAGTATAAAACAAGATAAACAGCAAGAGAGAAAAACAGGAGAGCAGGAGAATATTAAGACCACTATCAATTCTGCACAGTAAATGTTGGGCTGGGGACAGCGCAGAGGGCAGGACTGTGTCAGCTGAGCTTCAGATTGGTTCAAACCACCCAAGCTACAGCCACAACCTGGTGCTTCATGTGGCTCTCCCAAAGCCTGACACAATTGCTGCATACTTGATTCTATTATTATTTTCAATAAATTATGCAAAATTTTCTTGATGTGAGGTTCTTTGTTCTGAAAAAGCAGTAGAAAGATTGTTTTCTATTCAGTTTAGGCACTTTGCTGTTTTGTAGAATGCGTCTTTTTGTCCTGTTCGTGTTTATCTAGTTTGTTACTACAGTCATCTGAAAAGGAAATATGAATAGATATGGGGTCAGGAAGTCTTGAGCCCTGCCATATGACAGTGATAGGAAATTAGATCACCTTATTCTGGCTTAATATGTGTTTTCTTCAAGGCTGGTTTTAAAACCTACTTCACAAGCTCTTAAACACCTTGAGAACAGAACTGGAGTGAGTTGTAGGTGTGACTTCTGTCTGTGATGAAATGTAGGTCAAAAAGGGTGTGGATTATTAAATGTGCTTTAAACTGTAAGGAATGGTTGTCCTTTTGTATAATTAGTGCACTGACTGCCCTGAAAGTTGCTATGACAGGTTTTAAGGGCTTTTCTGAGGCACCAGAGTGTTGTTGGTTTTATGAAGTAAAGAGGCTTGTAACATTATAATAGCTGATTTCTTCTAGAGATTTTGAAGTTGTTCCCTTAGATGCAGTGTTACAGCCTGTTGAGAGAGACTATCCTTATGAGATCCACCCAGCATTAAAACACTTCTGCCAGCAAACTGGCTGTCTCATTTGCACATCACAATATGATGATCCCTTTTTTGTATAAAAATATTAATGGGCACATATTGATGTATGTATTTTACCTAGAAACACTCTTGGGTAAATAACCAATATGCATTTAATTATCAGCTATCCAGTCCCTCAACAGGGGAATGTCCACTGGGCTGATCATCAGAAAGTAAGAAACAAGTCTTTACAAAAGCCTTATTTGAGACTGGGGGTTTATGGACCGTGTGGTGAATTTGAGAGACTGACTGACTTCCAGTTTTTGATCATTTCTCCAGGGGTAGATATCGAGATGAGTTTCTTTGCTCAAAAAGCTTGAAAGTTTCTTCACACTTCCTAGAGTTTACTACAAATATAGGTACATATAAAGCAGTATCATTTTCTGCAGGCTTGTGAGATTACCTCTGGTTTTATAAAGTATTATTTTTACTTCTGGAGTTTTAATTATTCAGTATTATTCCTAGCATCTCAATACATGGTCTAGCCTGACACCCAATGCACCATCCTTTTCCTATTAATTTGGTCCTTGTCTTCTAAATTTTTTTGGGATGTTGTTTAGAAGTAAAGTATGAGATTCCTGTTTTATGTTCACTTTAAAACTAAACTTTTCATATGTCCTATTAAAATCTTGAGTAATTAAATAGTAGCTATGATCAGTAACCTTATATTCATAGGACTGTTACAGCTTGGTGACCCTTGTTTATTACAGAGAAGTGTAAGTTGCTGTTAATATTAACAAATAAATAATTAGATAAATCTGATTAAGTATGTTTAGTTTAAAAGGTACCATGAAGCTGTTCATAATGGTATATTTTTTGTTAGTGACCAACAAAACTGTTCTTGAAAACATGGTTTCATGTTTATCCACCATATGTAGTTAACCAAATCTCAAATAAATACGCACATAAATAAATAAATAAAGAAGACATAACCATAGAAATTATTAGAACAATGACCAACTAGTCCTGTGATTGAACATAAAAATAGATGTAAATTTAAATGTAGGAAACTTTGGTTCAGTGTGATCACTTTGCCCCAGTTATTTTGTCATGAAATGAAATTTAGAATTGCTGTAGCTTTCAGCTTTCCCTTCGAGAAATTTTGTCTTGCTGGAAATCACCAGTGCTGAGGTAGCTTCCTTCCACCTGTTTTTTAAATCCTAGGATTATAAGAGCAGGTTGGTGTAGAGAGTCCTAAAGACTCCGTGTCTCTTTCCTTACGTAGATCTTCTTTTTATGATATTAATCTATATTAAGCCTAGAAAATCAGGGGAGCCATGACCCATCAGTTGCTTCTGACCTTTGCACCTGATGATTAAGCATAGCGGAGATGCAAGTCCGGAGCTCACTACGGGAAATGTCAGGCAGTAGGGCAGAAGACATTGCTCTGTGTTAAATCACAGATAAAGATGGGAATGATTGCAGTGCCCTTTGTCTACAGGTATGCACACAGCCCTGTAATTGAAAAGGTGTCTGTAAGCTTCATCTAAGCCCTTAGTATTACAATATGATTTTCAGGAAACTTTCTTCCTAGGGGAGATACCAGTGAGTTTGTTGTTGACTTTATGATATTTTATAATATATTGAAAAGATAAACAAATGCTTTTTGCGTGGTCTACATTTTTAAATATCAAACTGAAAGTTAAATGTGTTGGGATACTTTGTTGTTGCTTGTTGTCTGTAATAGTCAGCTTT